AAATCAAATATCTGTTCATCCTTCCTAGTGATGAGGCTGGTGATCTACATAATTAATATACGCTCACATTGAAGTAAACATGAAATGATTAAATTGCAAGACTTTAACTAGACAGCATGTGAGGAGGGAAAAAAAAGAAAAGGAATTAATGGGTAACAGAGTCTTAGAAACAGGGGAGAGTATTGTATGTTATTTTTGAGCTAAATTTTGTTCTCATCCAAAACCTAATTGGTTTTTAAACTTCTTTCTCCACAACAGCCCAGACAAGGTGGTTTGGAGCATGTGTTATACACAAAATATTTACATCGTGGCTCTTGCAGCCTAGTCAGCAATTTGTGGAATAGCAAATTGAAAAAGTAACACTGTAATAAAAAAATAACTGTTGAATAACCTGCATTCCTAACAGACCAAACTTGGAGGACCAGCAGTAGAAATCTTGAGAAACCGCTGCTATTGGCATCCCAACAGCAGCTCTGATGTGGTGGGAGGAGCCAGAGTAGGGGTCTTTATTTACATTTATTGAGTCTGCTAGGGACCAGGCACCACACTAACTGCTGGGAATTTGTAATCTCATTTTTACAGTAAAAGCAACATCTTATATAAGCTCTGATATCACCATGCAAGACACACAACACACGAAGCTAGTCAATGGGAACTATTAATCAAAGTGAAGGGAGATATGCGTGCCCCATTATCAAGTAGATAAATGCCACCAAGACTGGGGGAAATGTTAAATACCTGCAGTATCTCTTGCTTAAAATCTCCTTGTCTAGAAATTCTGAAATTATGTTTGCTTGCTTTTTAATGTTCGATAAAGGAGTTACACTAAAAGGAACAATAAACCTTTGCCGGAAGTGTTCTGCATCAGGAAAACAAGCTGTGTTTAGATTCAGCTCTGATCTTTCCTCAAATGATGAGTTACGGTTGGTTGTCACCAGGAGTTCAGAGTTCAAGGTGGAGACTACTTAAGGGTCTTTTCCTGTCCAAGACGGAAAGAATCACACATTTGCCAGAGGACTGATGTCAGGGTGAGTAACGCTGTGTATAACAGGAGACCTGAAAGAAACACCCAAAACCCTTTGGTTTTTGCCTATCTCATCATCCCCTAGAACTTCCATTGCATCAGAGTTTTTGGTTTTTAAGTTAAGCAAGATCCAGCACCTGGAGCAGAGTCAGCTGGCAATTTTTCTGTTGTCCTAACATACAGCTCTTTGAGGAAGGCACTAAATGGGATCTCCATTCACACAGGAGAGGAAACACACCCTAGGCGAGGTTGACTTCCTGGTTGCCCCCACCGGCAGTAAGCTGGGCCCGGAAAGTTCAGCCCTTGCGTGTGCCCTCAGCTCTTCACCGTGGGGGTGGCGCCGTTTGGCTGTGGACGAAATTGAGGGTAAACCATCTGCATTCCTGGAGTCAGAAACATACCTTAGGCCAATGGAAAAATCAGAGAGATGGGGGAAAGTGGGGATTCGGGACAGAATTCCTAGCAATATCACAAGTGATCATCAAAAAGGAGGAGATGGTTTCTTCTAACAGAAGCAGTCTATATCAGAACCAGTCTGTATCAACAGAACCAGTGCTGAATCTGTAGTGTGTTCCTTCCTGAAGTTTCAGGCTTTTCCAGCTAGTCTTTTTATTACTAAGCATTAATAAATATTTATACCTGAGCCAGGTAGACTCAATTGATGGTTTCCTACAAGAGCCTAGCACACACGACTTAGCGATTAAACTACTACTACTACTAACTCTTAAAAAATGGGGCTGGAACACAGCCTGAATCCTTTGGGCTGAGTGCTTTGGGGCAGTTTGATCTACCTTTCCCTAGTCCCCAGGAGTAATACTGACAGAGGAAAGGGTCTAACGAGTCGTCCTACAAACATAGCTCTTGTTTTTGAGATTTCATTTCCATGGAGATGGAGGAGGCAGGGTCTACTTTCCACAGACAAGTGCTTGCATTTTCTCATTCTTATTATTATGAACGTGAAAGTGAGAGTCACTCAGTCATGTCCGACTTGTGTAACCCCATGGACTATAGCCCACCAGGCTCCTCTATCCATGGGATTCTCTAGGCAACAATACTTAGAATGGGTAGCCATTCCCTTCTCCAGGGGATCTTCCCAACCCAAGGATTGATCCCGGGTCTAGCACTTTACTATGATGAGAAAGGTGCAAAAGGAGTAGAAAATAAGTACATACTTTTTGAAAGTATAAATTTTGAAAGCTGGATGGAATTTTACTGGATATCCTGCATTTGGCAAGCTCATTATCTTGGCTCCAAAATTAGAAAAGCATGTCTTATTTTCTGAAATAAACATAATTTTTGTAACGACAGAACATTTAAAAAATCATTTCCAAGGCTCGACAAGTTTAACCCAACTTCCTAAAAGCCCTTCTGTCACCCAAGGGCAATGCAACAGAACAGAGGAACATAATGTGCAGAAAACGTTTCGTTAAATAAGTGCAATTGGCAAGACTCTTCATCCACCACCTCCCAGTACCAGGCACGCCCTCCAAACAAGGCAGACAATAAATGGGAACAACATGGTGAGGCTTTGCTCATGCCACACATCTGTTCACTTCGTTGGATTGTGTTTTATATTTAGGCATAACAAGTTTGGATTGTCTTTATGTACAGTGACAGCCGGGCAATGAATGTTGTTTGAACTCTGAATTGTATAAATACGGAGACATGTTGATTTGAGAAGAGAAAACAAGGCAAGTGAAAATTGGCAAAATACCCATTTTAAGAATTATAGTTACTCTTCTTGAAAAAAATAGACAAGAAACTCAACTGGCAGACCACCCACGAAGTACCATTAAGATCTAAAAAACATGAAAAAAAGACAACGTGCTCTAGCCAGTACCGTTTTTGAAAGCATTAACTGTAAAAAGCCTTTAGTTTAATCCAGGGACCTCAGCATTAGTGCCTATAGTTACAGACTCCATTGGGTATTCACATATGTGAAATGAATTGGGATAATTAGGAAAAAATAATGATAATAGTTGCTAGTATATATAGTACACCTCTATGAACCAAACAGAAATGTCATACATGTTACCTTATGTAATGCTATAATATAAACCCCATAAAATAAATATTAAATGATCTGTCCTAATTTTCCATATAAAGAAATTGAGGCTAAGAGACTACATAAGTGGATAAAGCTCAAGCAGTAAGGCTAGCAGTAGAGGTGAAATTCAAACTCAAGCCCAGTTGTCTCTCTACATTTGGTTTTTTGGCTGTACAGTGCCGCACGTGGGATCTTAGTTCTCTAACCAGGGGTCACACCCATGCCTCCTGTATTGAGAGCACAGAGTCTTAACCACTGAACTGCCAGGGAAGTCTATCTGTACCTAAGACTAGTGGCCTTGTCACTACAATGCCCTGATGTTCAATAACTCCTTTCTACAGTAGGTTTAATCAGCATACAATAAGCCAAATTCATTACTGACAATAAAACAAGAACTCATAACCCAAAATAAGGATTCAGTTCCTAGAAAAAGAAATTTTATTGACATAATCTTTCAAGGAAACAAATAAGCAATTAAATTAGGCAAATGTGCAATCAATTTAAGAGAAACAAAAAGAGGAAAACGTCCAACAATAATACAAAATAAATCCATCTTGAACAATGAAGAAGTAGTGAATAGAGTAATCCAAGTGTTTCCTCTCTATAGAGTTAATGTTCTGCGGAACTAATAAGCCTACCTGCCTTCAGTTCAGTTTAGTTCAGTCGCTCAGTCTTGTCCAAACCAACTCTTTGTAACCCCATGGACTGCAACACACCAGGCTGTCCTGTCCATCACCAACTCCCAGAGCTTGCTCAAACTCACGTCCATCAAGTCAGTGAGGCCATCCAACCATCTCATCCACTGTCATCCCCTTCTCCTACCTCCCTTCAGAAAGACTTCAATTAAAAATGGGAAAATATCCTTTGCCCCTGTATTTCTCTGACAATCCTAGCCACCAATAATGATTCTTTTTTCTGCTTTCCTCCTGCCCTAAAAATCTGAATGACTCATTCGCTTTGTAATTTCCTTTTATATGTATAGATCTCTACCAGGAATTTTAAGCTCTTCAAAAGAAGCAGGTACATTCTGAACCTCTTTGTATGTCTTATAATGCCTTGCACATGATACACACTCAAGTAATTGCTGGTTTTATTCAGGGCAAGACTTCTACCACTGAGATTATGTAGACTCACCAAATTTGACTCAAATGTAAGATTATGGTTCTAGCTAACTGGCCAACCTTTGAGTCTTTTGGCATTTGCAATGGGCATCATCCTTTCCCTTTTCAATAGACAGATCATTGTATTTGAGAGTAACAGGTACAGGTGACAGTAATAGGTGCAAACTTCCTTTTTATATTAGCTGTGTTTTTCAAAAGTTGTATTTCATTCTGTCTTTCAAGATTTCCTCAAGGAACTAAGGGGCATAACAGAGGACAGCATCCACTGCAAAGCGGAAAAGATGATGGCTGGACAGGTGGAAAGAAGGGAGCGGATCCAAGCTTGGAAAATATTGCCATAAAGAGGACAGACCCTTAAGCCCCATACATTGGAGCCACCAGAAAAGAAAAAGCATACAAAAAAGGGGGGAGGATGAAACGAAGGAACATTAAGATTTGCAAGTGAGAGCTAAGGTTTAAGATCTTCTCTACACGTTTATTGAGTGGCTGAAGGAACGAATACGTAATATCAGAGTCCCTTCGCTGAGCTTGAGACAGCAGGGGGCTAAGGATAGGAGAGTAAGAAGGAACGGAAGGTGGGCGTTCAGAGGCACTTAAAGGATGCAATTAGGCTGAAACAACTAGGAGTTCTCTGGGAGCTGCACAGAAAAACGGAACACGCGGTATGACTTTTGCAAACTCCCAAGAAGTTTTGGGCGATGTTGGCTACCTAGCGACGCATGAGAGAGTCATGGTCACACTGTGCCTCTCAGCATCAACCCGGTGGCTGGACGGGAAGGGATGCACCGCGTAGCAAACTGTTTCACAGCTGCTTTTACGCGTGGATTCTGAAGCTGCCAAACTGTACGCGGACGGCACGTGGGCCCCAGAGCCGCACAGGCGCAGCGAGCCCCTGACTCGGGCGGATGCACTGCGTTCCCGCCGTCTCAGCAGCGGCTGGAGGGCAGAATGCGGGGCGCGCCAGCTGCTGGTGACCGCAACAGAAGCAGATAGGCTCTGCCCTGTAGTCGTTAAGTGCTGCCTGCCTTTCAAAGGCAGAGCCTCCAAACAGTACAGGAGCGAACAAGTTTGCAAAGGAAACGCACTTGCAGTCTGGAAACCAGAGCAGCTGGATATCCAACTGCGTGAGGAAATCCAGAGGGCTCGTCTTCTCCCTTAAACTGGTATTACTCACCCGCGTCTTACAGACTGAAAGCATATGCTTAAGTATAATTACTGAACAACTCAGACCGATTCCCGCATCACAGCCATACACATGCAATACTCAATTCCACCTAGGTGGTGCCTATGTGACTTCTTTGCTTGGGTATTCCTAAGGAGGACTATAAACCAATGGCTCTGGAGGTGACATTTTTAAAATAAAATGAAACATTTTGTAAATACAGTTATGTATGACACTCCAGGTGGCGGGAGTGGTAAAGAAACCACCTGCCAGGGCAGGAGATGTAAGAGACGTGGGTTTGATCCCTGGGTTGGAAAGATCCCCTGGAGGAGGCCATGGCAACCCATTCCAGTATTCTTGCCAGGAGAATCCCATGGATATAGGAGCCTGGTGGGCTACAGTCCACAGGGTTGAAAACAGTCGGACATGACTGAAGCGACTTAGCACACACACGCATACGTAAAGTACATAAAACAAATGCCATATACCCACCATCCGTTTGTGACGATGGCATTAACCACCTCATGCTGATGGTAATTCTGTTGTCTCCGCATCAGAGAGGTGCCTTTTGCTGGTGTTACTGTAGTTCTTCTGATTCTTCTGTCACTTTTGAACAGGTAAACGGGCTGCTAATACTACTGCTAAGTCACTTCAGTCGTGTCCGACTCTGTGTGACCCCATCTCTGGGATTCTCCAGGCAAGAACACTGGAGTGCGCTGCATTTCCTTCACTGGTAAACAGGCTAGGACTCTCTAAAATCCATCCAGTGCAGAAAAAGGAAAATGCAGCAGATTGTTGGTGAGGTCTGGCCAGATACAAATGAGTGCTTAAAGATGCTGAAGCAGACTGGTGAGTCCATGGAGCCAAGCAATGTGGGAGAGTAAGAAGAAAACTGAGGTGGAAGGAGTGGTAGGCCCTTGACTTAGTCCTAGGGGCTTGGTGTCAAGAAATGTGTGATGGAGCCGTTCAACTTAAAACTGCCAAGCACTAATTTTCTTAGAGAATCCTTTATCCTTTCGGACTAATAGTGTGTATATATATATAGATAGGTATATACATGTGCAGTTTAAAATCTAATTTTATACACATAATATACTTATTTTAAACATAAACTATAGGATAACCCTAGTATCATATGGTTGGATGGCATCACTGACTCGATGAACATGAGTCTGAGCAAGCTCCAAGGGTTGTTGATGGACAGGGAAGCCTGGCGTGCTGCAGTCCATGGGGTTGCAGAGAGTCAGACACAACTGAGCGACTGAACTGAAGTATCATATTTGATATTTAATAATACCATGTGCTCTGAAGATGGTGGAGGCAAAACTTGCCAATTACACTTTTAGCAGTCATACCAAAGGATGAATATTTCATGAGAAGTGTAAAGAAATTACTTTTCCAATGTCTTCATTGAGGAAAGAAGGCTATCATCTGAAGAGGCAGCTTCAAGGGGCTGTTTGGATGTTGTAAAGAGCCATCAAGTTTATTATTCATGACATAAATGGAAACTTTTTAAGTAGATTATGTTCTGACATAAAGGATTCCAGTTAAGACACCAGATTGCAAGGAAAGACACGAACAGCTGCTGCAGCTTTGAAACTGTACTTACTGCTCACTTGTTCACAAAAATGTTTAGATCCACTTCACTACTTTTAAACTTTCTGTAGACAAGTGACATGGATGTATTACAGGCCCAGGGAATGGTTTTAGAAGCAATCAAAGGCTGACAGCAAAGCCAGGAAGTGTTCAGGGAACAAAAACCTCCCCTTTGTGACCAAATGAACCACTTACTGCAAAAACCAGGATAGCATTGAGGAAAACATGGGCAGCCAACCTAGGAAACAAAACGAACTTCAACCATAATGAAATCACTGCTCATGTAACAGCAAGAAGCAGTCCCCAGAGAATCAATAAGCAATTGGTTCCCAAAGAATATGGATCCTACTCGCCGAAGAAATCAGAGCAACTGCTTTCTTTCTCGGTGTTCTTCTCTCTACCCGAGTTTCTGCTATCTGTGGTCGAGTCATCCTTCAGTATTTAATCAGCTTCCACTTCTTGGGAAGATCTTAGCTCATCAGCTCCTTCAAATTTCTCTTAGCACATAGTGTGTGCCTCTTATTGTGTTCGTGACCTTGAACTCTGTACCATACAATTTACATCACTATTATTTGTTGTTGTTGTTCAGTTGCTAAGTCATGTCTGACTCTTTGAGACCCCTCGGACTGTAGCCCGCCAGCCTCCTCTGTCCATGGGATTTCCCGGGCAAGAATACTGGAGTGGGTTGCCATTTCCTTCTCCCCGGGTTCTTCCCGACCCAGGGCTGGAACCCTCGTCTCCTGCACTGGCAGGCGGGTTCTTTACCACTGAGCCACCAGGGAAGCTGTGAAGTAATTTAGGTAAACTAAAACAAACAAAAGTCTTTATTTCCTTTCTTAAAGCCCTGCTGTGTCCTACTGAGATGAAGAAAAGGACAAGCAAAATAATCCAAAGGCAACCAGGAAGTAAGGTATAAAGCAGGAGGAAGGAACTTTGCGGATGTTTAGCACAATGCCCGCTATGCCTTTCTGGGGGAATTTTAACCTCCTTCTCTGCCAAGGCCTCACACCTGCAATGTGAACAGCCGGGGACCCACAGGGCAGTGATGTGACTTCAAAGAGGAGCAGACAAGTGAAGCAGGCAGAGGGGACCCAGTGGAGCCAGGATGATCTCTAGAATGTCTCAGATCACTAGCCTCTGCACCTGTCCCAAAGCACTGCGTTTGAGGGTGTTCCTTAGACCACTACTGTGTCCCCAGATGATAAGACCCTAAAAAGTACATGTTTAAATGTTTGTTGGTGCCACATACCACATCTGCTTAAAAATGCACTCCTTGTTGCGAAGGGGTAGTCAGGGAGTGTGAGATGGACATGTCCACCCTGCTATATTTAAAATGGATCTCTAACAAGGACCTCCTGCAGAGCACGGGGAACTCTGTTCAAGGCCATGTGGTAGGCTGAATGGGAGGGGAGTTTGGGGGAGAATGGATACATGTATGTGTATGGCAGAGTCCCTTTGCTATCCACCTGGAACACTCACAACATTGTTAATCAGCTATACCCCAATACAAAATAAACTTGAAAAAATGCACCCCTTGGAAAGATCATTCTGGTTGTCTCACTGAGTTTCTCTAGCTATTGCCCTATGCAATGAATGCTTTCAAAAATTGTATTTGAGAGCTGCGAGTTAAATCAACTAGTCTGGGATATCATAGTCCTTGAATTAACTGAGAGGAGGGAAAGAGCAGGGAATGAGCCAAGTCAGAAGAACAAATGGAACCGAAGGAGCATCACCAACCTCAGGTCCAGAATCAGGATTTTTATTAGGTTCCTGAGGAGTGAAGTGACTGTTCCCATGGGCAATTACATTTTCCAGAGCAAAATAAATTAGTTAAATGTGTCTATAGAGAGGCCAAGCATTACAACTGTTCTTAGTCTGTTTCTAAGAATTATTTCATCACTAACTTACATTAGTGATCTTGGAAATAAATGAAAAGAACCCCAAGTTATGAAAGCTCTAGGCTTTTGTTGTGATGGAGTTGGTGATGGACAGGGAAGCCTGGCGTGTGCAGTCCACGAGGTCACGAAGAGTCGGACACGACTGAGCAACTGAACTACCGAACTGATAGCAAATGAAAAACTCTTAAAATAAGAAACATCTTAGGAGTCATAGTAACTGACTCAAAATATCCCTCAGAATTACAAGAAGAACCGAAAAGTTTCTTTAGGTCTCATAAGCATGTTTTGGGCATGAATAAGTTTTTAAGTATTAATAATAAATATTACTGGGCTTCCCCAGTGGCTCAGGGGTAAAGAATCTGCCTGCAGTGCAGGAGATGCAGCAGATGTAGGTTCGATCCCTGTGTCAGAAAGATCCCCTGGAGAAGGACATGGCTACCCACTCCAGTATTCTTGCCTGGGGAATCCCATGGATAGAGAAGCTTGGTGGGCTATGGTCCATGGGGCCACCAAGACTCAGACACAACTAAGGCAACTGAGGATGCATGCCATATATGTTATCATTATAACAGAACTATGTGTGTGCTTAGTCACTTAGGTGTGTCCTACTCTCGTGACCCCATAGACTGTAACCTTCCAGGCTCCTGTGTTCATGGGATTTTCCAGGCAAGAATACTGGAGTGGGTTGCCATTTCCTTCTCCAGGAGATCTTCCCGACCCAGGAATCGAACCCAGCTCTCCTGCATTGTAGGTAGATTCTTTACCGACTGAGCTACAAGGGAAGCCTGTGAAAGAACTATATGTAATGATTTATCTCAATTAATCTTCACAACAGTCCCATTTAAAACTCAATTTTTAAATTCTCTTTCAATTTTTAAATTTTTTAAAGTTATTCCCATTTGAAGCTCAGCAAAATTTAGAGGCTTTCCTAAGGATCCTTTCTTAAGGATGTCAGACCATCTGAATGGAAACCAGATCTTCTCATTTTAAATCAAGTGCATCTTGGAAGTGATGGAGGGCTAAATGGATTCCATGTCTTTTAACCCAAATCTAGTTCTCTTTGTATATACAACAGCACAACTGACAGATTAAAAATATGATCCCCAGAGTCTCATAGGTGAAAATAAGGACAAAGATTTTTTTTTTATGAACAATTGTCATTTAGTTCAAAGGAATCATGAAACTATCTTGTGTCTAATCAATTAAATATTAGAGACAGTAGAAGGAAAAGAATTGTTTTGGGGCCAGCTTGGGATATAAGTATTTGGATGCTTAGACCAGGTTTCTCAACAGCAGGACTATTGCAATTTGGGGCCAGACTTCTCTTTGATGTGGGGTCATCATAAGGTATTTTGCAGCATCCAGGCCTCTACCCCCTGGATGCAATGGTGACAGCTGAGAATGTCTCCAGCATGGCCTCCCTGGGCGTCTAAATCATCCTCCTCCCCAACTGAAAACCACAGACTTAGAGGCAGTATTATATTTTTTTTCCTGTGCCTGAAA